TTTGCATGTAGATCTTAGAGTTCGTGTGGAATTAAACATAAATAACTGTCAAAGCCCAGATCTTCTAGAATTTTCTTATCGACCCAACGAATTCCCGTTTTCTCACTGCCCACAGTTCCCGCGTAATGCAGTCCACAAGAAATAAGAATATTCTCGGTAATAGTAAGCAGCTTCATCTTACTCCTTTCTTCACTTCAGAGACTTCGCTGAGTTTTCCTTTGTGAACCACTTGACATATGGCATTGACATATAGTTGCTGATTGAGGTTTATGCTTAAAGTTGAAGCACTTTCCTAATTACTTTGTGGCAATCTTTGACGAAGAAGCTTTCAAAATCGATGGAGTTGAAGTAAAGAGTTTACTGACACTTTATGTTCTATTCAATAACAAAACACATTGTTGTAGTTTGGTCTGAGCATAACTTATTTTGCCGAATCCAACTTGTCCCTGATGAAGTCTTCCATTTAGGGTCTCTCCTGGTCGTTCGAGGATTATGCAGCTTAATATTTTGCTTGTGGAGCACAGGAACATGACCCGACTCCAGTGCTTGCACAAGCTTGAGTCATCCTTCTTCGGCAGTTGAATAGAGCAGCCTTTCTTACAATCAACTGGTATCCTTCCTTCCATCTACAGCTTCTGCACTAGTGGCGTCAGTAACTCAGCTGAGTAATGTGAGCTCGTGTAGAGTACATCTGGGGGCTCCATCTGGTCGTCAAATCAGCTTCTACTTCTGTTGATTACCTCTACAATGGTCCATCTTCTGCCTCATCATCCTTCATTCTTCCATCAGCCCTCACGTATCTTAAGTGGGCCATTCCTTGTCTTGCATATTCCTCCTTCCTAAGCTGTCTACGCAGATTTCCTTCTACATAGCTTTCATACAGTCCCAGTGTTCTTCCACACAGGTTTCCTTGATTACATTAGTGCCTCTGATTTTTTTAAGATGACTTGTATAGGTGTCCTTTGTAGGTTCGTCCCCCATTTTTCTGAGTTTGAAACTTGTATTTTGGTCTATCTACACCTGCTGTGAGGGCTTTTGGCTTCATCTTTAACGTTCCTTGCACTAGATAGTGGTCAGATACTTTCAATAGTTGGTTTGTAAGGATTAGATTTGTTTTGACGAGTTGATCACGGACTGATATAAAATTTCCTCTTCTTCTCGACCTTATGTCCAGTAAGCTGCGCCTCCATACACTTTTGAGATTCAGACAAAGTCCTTATGGTTTTTATTGTCTCTGTATGGTGAGATCCTGTTCGCCTTTTAGGTGTCCTTGGGCTCCTACACTCTGCGTTCGATTACCAAATTACGAGACTCGCAGAAGTCTACAGAGTATTTTCCGTTTCTATTAATTTTACCGAGCATCTTCCGACCCATTTTTTTCTTTATTCCTTCACGTTCCCAGTGGAACATAGAGCTTCAAGCTGCAGGCTTGTAGTTTCTGTAGCACTTTGTATTTTTACAGGATGGGGTTGCTAGCCTCATGCCCAACCTTTCCTCTTTACCAGCATTATTTCTGGCTTAGCGAGGTCAAGGAGTGGTTCGGCCGGGGATAGAACCCCGGACCATGTACATGGTAGGCAAGAGTCCTAACCGCTATGCCACCAACTCATACTGAGCTCTTTTCTTGTATCGGCTGCACCCATTTGGCTGGCATTCGTATCACTCATTAGAATTTCGAAGTTGCCATCTGCTTGATATCTTCTCGATTACTATTTTCAGTTGTTTATGGCAGTCCTCCTTCTTCTCCACCGGGTCTGAATATTTTGTAGGTGCGCAGCACTGTATAATTGTAATTTCCCATCTATTTGAGTTGAATCTCGATGTCATAATCCCAGAGGAGACTGGCTCCCACTGCATGAGAGCCTTCGATGCTACTGGTGAAATCATGTCAGGCATACACTCAGTGTACTCGTAGTTGTCATCTGGGTGACCTGAGTAGACTAATGACTATCCAGTTTTGTTCTGTCTGCCCTCACAGGTTCATAGCATTCCAATAACAGCTATGTCTTTTCACATCATCTACAGTCGGGGTATCATTGCCAATCAACCTCAGAGATACTGTGGACAATCCATGTGCCCAGCTTTACTTTTACCTTTATCGGAAAAAGACCCTTCGGTAGGCTGCTTTTCATGATAAGCTTCTGTCAGTAGGCATCATCCTTCCTCGATTTGAGGAGTCTTCCCGATTCTAGCAGAGGATTTTTTTCTTTTGTCAGCTTTGAATTTTCATTAGCAATAGGGTTCTCTTTCACCTCTTTCCTAGGTTTAGGAACTGGAAGTAGACTAGGTGGTGTTATTTGAAATATACTTAAAATTACTTACTATGTTTTTTTCAGTCACGTATACTCTATAAGCCATCTACAATCGCAGACAGCTTTTGCTGGTGCTTCTTGTGTGTAAACTCCTTTTATTGTAGTTGATATAGTGTAAAACAATTATCGCTATCAAAGAGCATTCGGCATATTCAGATTTTTAGCCTGGACATCTCTTGTAGAAGTACCGAAAGCTAGCAAATAAAGTTTAAGAAACAGTGCGTATTCACACCACCTAGATGTCCAACTTTCACAGAGTATTCAAACACTCAGCCGCTGTGATAACTGGAATCCTTTGATTAATGGTAAAATTCAGCTGGAGACAAATTGTTTTACGCCACCAGTCACAAAAACTCATCAGTATTTACGGGAATCCACATGGAAGCTAGTCATCAACAAATTACATGACAAACATGTTTGAATAGTCAGTTGAAACATCAAAAGTTTGTAGATTACGTTTTTGGCGGACAATAAATACTCCAACTGACCTTTATGTGAATAAACTAATTCACCTTTATTCAACCCATTACTTTTCTTTTCAGATAATTCAAAGTTTACGTTATGTTTGTCCAGTGACGTTTCCAAAAAAAACAAAAGTTTATGACCGTATTCAATTATCATACTTCTCCATGGTGATAAAACAGTTATATAACTAGGTAAAATTAAAGAAAATAAACAAAAGGCCTGAGCGTTTAACTTTTGAAGTGAATCCAAAGGCAGCTTAACTAATACAATGATGATATATGGCTAAACCAACCTCACCGATTATTATACCAGGAATGATGGGACTTCAACAGAGTGTACTTTGCTAAAATGTGACCTAACTAATCATAAAATTCTTCACTTATTCCTTACTAAGAAATGGACATACATTTCGTACAGCTTTAAAGATATCTATCAGTCTCAGTCAACAAATGTTCATCAGGGTTTCGATAAAAATAAAACCACTTTTAGCATCATTTACTCCCACATTAACAGTCAAAGTGAAACAGTGACACCGATGAAAAAAATCGTCATGCACGAATAATCCCTAAGACAGCAAGAACAATTTGTCAAAGTCACCAAAAATAAATCAACCAAAGACAATAGAGTCGTTGTGCCAATCTCCAATTGTAAAGCATAAATATCACACCCTTTGAATGTGAAACAATTCAGTACTTTCCAAAGCATTTTTCATACAAGTATTAAGCAGCAGCAGCAGTTAACTGACAGAGTTCTGTTTGTATCATGAATGTGTAACTATCATGTTTTGGATACTTTCCCGCCTGGTTACGTGAACCAAGGAATAGGCTATACCTATCCTCTGTTAGTTCGCATGTTATCTACTTAGTGACAGGTTGTTGAAGGCTGGATAAATAACGCCATTTGACATTATAAAAAGTGAAGGATCAGTGTTTCGGTTTCCCCATTTTTGCATAAATTATCAACAGTTACCCAAATTAGATTAACAAAAGCAGGTCGTGGCTGTGACCATTTTCCATTTGTTCCTGGCGGTGCTGTTGACGGTGGCAGAGGAGAAACCATCTCCCTGAGCTATCAACAACTGACGGGAAGAAGAATAAATCAATACTGAGAAATTTATAAGACACTGAATGACTGGTGCATCTGCTTCTTATACTACTTAAAAGTAAATTCTCAGTGTTTACGCTTTGACTGCTGTCTTACGCACTATATAATTGAACTTCTGGAATCATCCTTACTACACATCTTTAAACACCTTAGTTTAGAAATTGTTTAGTGTTTTAGGAAAATGCGATATCATATGGTGAATATTTCATTACCAGGCTTGGTAATATCTTCATTACGAAGTTCGTGTAAGAAGTGTCACTACGCCTGGTGATGAAAATTATTATTATTATTGTTTCCTTTAATTCCTAGAGGAACATAGGGCTCCAGCCGTGCGTTTCCATTGAGTTCGGTTCTCTGCTAGAGTCTTCACCTGCCTCCAAGTCTGCCCACACGTTTTCATCTCCTCTTCACATGACCTCCTCCAAGTCACCCTTGCACTGACGACCAACTCGCCGCTTCCCTTTCGGGTTCTCCTCCAGCAATGGCTTGTCTAGTGATGTCACTTGATGGTTTCCTCAGAGTATGACCAATCCATCTCCATTTCTTTCTGCATATTTGTTTCACAATCGGTTCCTGGTTGTTTCGCTCCCAGAGATCCCTGTTGCTGATCTTTTCTGGCCATCTGATCTTGAGTATTGAGCGAAGACAACTGTTAATGAAGGTCTGTAGCTTGTTTGAGATGCTCTTTATGACGCGCAGTGCAAGTCTGTGATCCGTATAGTAGCACTGACTTCACATTGGAGTTGAAAATCCGGATCTTATTTTTGATGCTGAGTGCTGCAGACCTCCACGATCAATTGTCCGATCCGTGAATGACACTAAACTATTTTCACATTCATCATTTGCATATGTACTCAAAGACGTAACTAAGAATAAGAATCTCTATGAGGAGCACTCAGCGCTTTCACATTAGGTAAAAGATTTCTGATAGGAATGTATACTCTGAACTCAATTATGATGTATAGGTCTAGGGTATCCAATGACTGCTTCTAAGCAATTTACGACAAGAAGAACACTGTGTTTCTCAGAAAAAAAAATATGTTTATATATAATGCTTTTAAGTTTATCAAAAATGACAAGTAAGTATAAGAGGGATTAGTTTTATCACAGTTTCAATATTGTGCGTATTCGGCGGCTGTATTTTCACTTTTCAGAGGGACAGATGTTACAAAAAGTCATAATGTTGATTATGAAGTGAAATACGGTGGTGTGAAGAATTGTTGGAGGTCTGTCTTTTCAGAAGATAAAGACAATGTATTAAACTCACTCAGTGGAGTGACAGAGATGGGAAAAAGACATGATGAAGGTTATCCTCGAAAAACTATAAACAAACGTGTGAGTAGTTCGAAATCTTTAGTAATTTGGGTATGACTCTTAAGTCAAAAGAGTGAGATAGAGAAAAAGAAAAATACATAACGCACAAAAACAAACAAAATTATGAAACAATTAACGCCAAAGTTTTTGTTCAAACCACAGTTTTGCATATCATCTGAATATCAAAATAAATTTATGAAGTTAATGAGTTTCTTTCGAATCAAAAACAACAAAAAAGTGAGGATCACTTTATGTCTTCTCTTCTAAAAAATAAACACTGCTACAATCTATAAGTACATCGAATAATCAAATCAAAGTATGCATCATTGTCGATAGACGCGCTGATACCAGAGTAATAATTTAAAAATTCCACTCTAGTTATCTGAAATTAAAAGAATAAAAATACTTAAAATAAATAAAATAGAATGAATTTGACATATCTTGAAAACTAAACAAAATTTCACCACAAAATGCATAAACAATGTATGTATGTGTATATTTGTATACGAAATAATCAATAATTTGTTGAGTGGTCAAATAAGTGCAGTTGTGCATTTAAAATCGGAAAGCGAAAACTACGCAAAAATTAAGTGGAAGACAAACACAAATAAATAAATAAATAAATAAAAATCGTCATGATCTTTTGAACACATGAATAATATATATTATCATTATTTAAGGTCAGTTGTAAAGTATTAGTTGTGAGGCGCTTAAATTTTGGCTAGATAATGTCGATCAGACTTCTTGCAATCTAAGAAACTTTTGATTGTGTACACTTAATTGATAATCTTAGAAATTTGCCAAAATATAGTGAAAATATACTCACTCCTCCTTAATAGTCTGTATTCTTCCATTATTGGTTATAACTGTAGTCATCATTAGCTTAACAAAGTTAATCGCTTTGGAGAGGAGAAGTATCCTAATAAGGTATTGTTCGACGCAGTTAACTTTGCAGGTTTATCAGAATAGCATTTCCGGTGAAACTGTCTGGGACATTGCTGGATGTAATCAGTAGTAGTTGAAGGCACTGAGTTTTGTAGTTGGTAGGTCATCCTAGACCTCTGGTTCGAATCCTGCAGTGATCCAAGTTTCCTTTCAACTTGAATCACAAAAACATGCTTCAACTGTTTTACCACTAGTATGAAAGTGTTAGCATTCTTATTGTTTGAATCAAGTATAAAAGTGGACTTCTGACGTTTTGTGACATTCACACGATAAAACCATGGTGAAAGACTTAGTTCTTCAACCTAACTGATATCATATCAACGTATTCCCATTGTGAACTAACTAACCAATTACTTATTTGATTTAGTTTCATCAAAATAAATCTTGATGTCGATATCTTGAAAAATATTTATACACTTTTTTTAGAGGCACGCGTATATGCCTATTGAGGAAAACAGCACTGTCAAGGTACAAGATCTCAGGACTCACAACACCAATCTAGTGACTGAAAGTTGAATTCCTGATCTGATGAGTGAAGTAATTCAAGATATTTTGTCTATACAAGTCAGCTAGTGAAGAGAGACTGTATACGGGCTGAAAAATAAGTCCTAGGAGCCTGCTCAACTAAAACACCACCTCACATCCTGACTCAGATGAAGATTCATTTGGCTACACCTAATCTGCATATCTCGCATATCCAACCAGGCGGCGAGAATTAATTTAAATCATGTTTGACTTTAAGAGACCTGGAATATTCTTCCTTTTTTATTTTTTTATTCCTTCACGTTCCCAGTGGATCATAGGGCTTCAACCTAGAGGCTTGAAGTTTCTGCAGCAATGTTTATTTTTACAGGATGAGGTTGCTAGCCTCATGCCCAACCTTTCCTCTTTACCAGCATTATTTCTGGCTTAGCGAGGTCAAGGAGTGCGTCGGCCGGGATTCGAACCTCGGACCATGTGCATGGTCGGCGAGCTTCCTAACCGCTGTGCCACCGACGCACTGAATATTCTTTCTAACAGAAACCAATTCCTTTATGCAGTACATTAACAAAGTGAGTCATAGTCGAGGTGAAAATGGTGAATAACAAAATTATTCTGGATTGAAACGCATAGCCTATATTCAATGACTGAAAGCAATCGGTGGAAAGCTGTGGACCTAGATTTTGGGCTTGGTAGAATTCGTCAGCGGGGGAAATTTGCAACTTTGAAGAAATTAATGTCTTTTCGAACACGCGTCAATCAGCGCTACAATCAGACATATTACAACTTAACTAATTAGAGTAACAGCTTGGCCACCAAATTATAAACGTGACTGATAGAATTCAGTCACTAACAACACTAAAACTAGACAGAATCATGACACTGCTTACTGTCTAATGACCAATCAATAAATCCAGCTTACAACTACTTGCAGAAATTGCCTAGATGTTTTATTTCCAATTCGATGAACCATTTTACCGATATAATTAATTTTTAAAAATATGCAAAACGCCAGTTAACTCCATTTGTTGCAGTAAATTATGGATTATTCCGAAAATTAATAAATTGTGTTCAAGTTATCAATGGTGCGTTGTGTGTTTGAATATTCACCGCTTTTTGTATACACCGTTGTGTAATAAACAAAATTGGACACCCCTGATCAAGGTAACATCAACGTTACAGAATTTACAATACATGTGAGTCAGCTGAACACCAACACAGCAAACTAAAACAAACACAACCTAACAGCACCCGTAAAAAGATTCCTCATTTAAAGTTATATGTATATACATATATATGCACATGTATACATGTGCAGAACTGTACACTTATTCACCAAATTCAACGTGTTCGTGTTCAGCTTAGATTTTATACGCCTGTCGTATCATCAAGTCGAAATAGGCGTCATTGTCAACTGATGCACTGATACCAGTGTAATAATTGAAGAACTCTTCTTTGGTTACCTAAAAATATTCGAAAGTAGTGGTGCTTCGGTTTACTTGTAATATTACTTTTTTGAATATACACAATACATGGTAAAAACTCACCTTATAATATTAGCAACCTACTATTATTACTGAAAGTAGTAGTCAGTAGTATTAGCAATACTGAAGATTATTTCACATAATCATTGGTGACTTAAATTTCAAATTCTCAAGGATTAAATGCATACAGACCTGATTAATTTGAAAGTAGATGTAGTATTTGAACAGCCGTTTTTCCCTATTCCGAGAATTACCCACGGTGTGAACCCATAGTCCTGCAGACTTCATGGATGGCATATTGTGAAATAAAACTGACTCGCCTTGAATACTAGCTCGCTAGTGAAATGACGCAGGCTGGTAAAAGCCTTCGGGAAGCCAGTCAGCCGATGTGCCTCCTTTCGATGAAAGCAAAAATAAGGATGGGGACTAGAAATCATAGTTCGCTTAATTCCGATTCAATGGATGAAAGATAGCCTGCTTGCCTCACAGTTTGACCGTCCTTCTTTTGACCTTTTAGCACTTATGAGGGTGTATATGCCTTCAAATCCTAAACATTGAAAATTTAGCTATTCAGTGCTCTTTGCTTTTCAATTTTTTTCCACCTATAGACAGAAACAATTCTTCAGGTTTGGAAGATATCTAGATGTTAAAAATCTGAATCCAAAGTTTCTGTTAGCGACTGAAACCATAGATAAGACATATCTATTAGCAAACAGGGATGAATAACACCAGGAAGTAAAGAGTTAGGAGGCATTTCAGTTCTGGCACTAATTTAAAGGTTCTTAAAATATTCTGTCGTCTCAGGAGATCATTTTTAAGATATACAAAACCCTTTCTAACCTTTGCGTTCAATAAAATTCGAAGTGCTTTTTTTGTAAACGCCAAAATCTGTCATATTTTGCTCAGGTGTGGCATCTAGTTACTTAAGAAGCGGAAATTGAGTAACGAGGCCCTATTAGTTGATAACAAGTGGTTTGCATGATGAGTAACTGCCTTCCCCTATGAAAGATATTATTAGAAGTCAGACTAGGTTGCAGAAGAGTTAAAAGTAGTCAGATAAAAACATGACATCGCACTTTGAAGTCGTTTACTTTCAGGCTGTATCATGTAAAACAAACATCTTCACAAAGCTAAAAAAATGTTATCATTATTATTGTTATCATCCGTTCCTTGCTTTGAGACGGGAACACACAGCTTCAGTGGCACACCTCAGTTGCACTCCATTCTCTGCTATCACTTTGAACCGTCTGCACAACTTTCCACAAGCTTTAATTCCCTCTTTTCATTATCTTCTGCACATCGCCCTCGGACTCCCAACCCATTGAGGCCTCATAATGTCTTGTCATAAGAATCAGTGGATGAAGGCATTTGGTGATATAGTTAAAAGTAGTTCATTAAGGACTAGTTGAGCTTCTTATCTTCTTCCCAATTCTGAAACAATTCATTAGTCTTCACTGGACTGTTCTCTTTATTGGAGTTATTCTTGTCTATCACAATATTGTGCTTTTCTCTCCTTCTGTTTTGTACACTTCTAGGAAATGTGGCAGCTTGAAGTGGTGCACATTTATGCCAAGGTATGCTGAATTTACTAATCAGTCAGTTTTAGCATAGAAAATAAGGACATCGGTATTAACCAGACATGTTGGCTTTCGCTGATGCAAAACATCCAATGAGTTAAACAATAAAGCTTTACCCTGCAATTTCAGCTTCGAGCTACTTTTACTCCTATCAGTGTTCGGATGACTCTAGAAGGATACTATGACCACACAAAAAATGAATTCGATCCACCTTGATCTGGAAAGTTCATTGAAACGGATATCAATTACACAGCTGTTTTGTCTTAGTAGCTAGAATGAATGTTTTTGAGCACTAAACATGAATAAATATGTCACATATTTACGTGATGAAAACGAATAAAGACAGAAAGCGTTTTAATGTTTAAAAATATAAATAAATACTATTCACTGTCACAAAAGATTCAGCTACAGTGTGCCAGGTGGTTAAAGGCAACGAATGGCATTCAAGTTTCCTGACTGCTGGCCCTTATCCAAGTGGTGTATCTACTACACTGTAGGGAGAACTGATGCTCCTTAAAAGTATGGAAATGAGAAATCCAGAGACGCAGTTAAAAATTTACCAACTGCGAAATAAAAGACATACACTTCATTCAGTTTAAGACCAACCAACTGATATGGAATCCGGTGACAATCATGTTAAATACCACAATGTTATGTACATTTGAAAGGGAGTCATCAGTAATTAAATTTAAGTGCAAATAGACACCACGTTTGAAACAAGAACGATGTGAACCACTCATTCCATTACTAATTCCCATCAACTACAAGATGGCTGAACTAACAAAAAGTGATCAACACAGTTTGATAGATCAGGCATGACTGAGGCTGAGAACGCATACAAACTCCATTATAAGGATGCCTCTCAATGCGTGGATTTCAACCTAATTCCTCTCTATCTTATATTACAATTGCCGTCGTTTTATGGCATTATAGAGTGTCTAACTTTATAATACCTTTTCATTTTAAATATTGATCATGATTATAAATGTCTGTAAGATTTGAAGATAAGTAGATGAATTGATTGTAGTGACTGTAAAATTGCTTAGCAAATAGGTGCACACAGCGGTTCGAGGATACTTATACTGCTAGCTTACAAGTAGTAAAGCAGTCCAAATCGACAAATTTCCTCTCCATACACGCTAATTCGAACACATATATTCTCCTGTGTGAAAATAAAATCAAAGAGACACAATTAGACCTATATCACAACGAGCTGTGGTTTCAAGAAACATGCCAAAACTCTGAAATCACTCAATACTTCGTGCTAAGTAAACCATGAAAGTCTATCGACTTATCCATCTATCGAACTTGAAGGAATTCCACTGGTGCTTTGTTTCCAAGCTCTAAGTTGACAAGTCAGTTAAGTTCCCTCCATGGTGAAAAAGAAATTAAGTTTTAAGTAAGGCCAGTTATTTAGTCAATAAAGGTGACTTAGATGGCTGGGACACTTGCTACGCATACCTAACAACCATGTATCTCGACGTGGTTTGCTACAAAAGTAGGATGAGAACAGAGACGAAGAGAAGTCACCCTATTGACCCTCAGTGACAATTCATGATGTCACTGACTAAGCAGTGTATCGAAACGTATTTTGTCCCGTTATAATCTCCATGATAACAGAAAATTATGGCCGACAACTCTGAATGAACATGATAAAGTTAATAACAGTAAAACGGAATTATTCAACCAGTAAGCTTATTTTAGAGAGGGCATCGCACTCCATTCTTGTTTTCTTTTTTTTCTCCTTTCGTTTTGTAGTACTTCTAAGGATTGAGTTTATAGAGACTCGACCAACTTAAGTGATGATTTTGACACGAGCCAACATCAATGTGGTTCGTAATTGATATCGATTCGGGAGTAAATCTACGTTGTACCATTTTATTACTCTTGGAATCACCGATTTCGGACTCCTCGCTTTAACTTGCATTTTTCCTACTTAATTAGAAGATATAAGGTGTGATACATTGGACTACTATACAGTGGTCATAGGTCCTGCATTGATATTATTCATTTGAATGCCACTGTGAAAGGATGACGGTATCTTATCCCTTTTGTCAACAGAAGTCAATAAAGAACTGAAGTTTTTGAGAAAAGACTCACAAATTATGCTGCTTACGGTACTACACTTACTTTCGAATCATAAGTAGTGTACTTAGCCTAGTGTGTCTGACTCAAAAATATGAAATCTCTGTCACTTCAAGCTTTTATCATTGTGATAAATGAAATCGCCTGTATAAACTTTGTTACTCAATCTTGAAAACAAATGCTCATAGTGAATTAGAACTGGAAGTTCACCTATCATTTCATTATTTAGATTAGTAACAAAAAGCATCAGTAACTGTTTATGACGCAGTTTATCACTAATTCATTATCAAAGAATTACAGTGTGTAGAATTTACTGTTTGTGAACTTCCAGACGCACTGAATTCTCATTATTATGCTGATTTTTTCTCCCACGCTTCCATGTTTCTCCTTTTTTTCTCCATATGCGTTTATGTTTGCTTTACGTTGTGTAACAGCTTGAACTGCCGCATTTATATATATATATATATATATATACATATAATAGTTACCACTAGCCATTTAATAACATTTCAAAGCCTGTTAACTCATCGACCGAATTGTAAATGTGACTGATAGGATTCAGCCAGCATTAAGATCTGGTAAGTACGACATTGATAACAACCAAGTGATTAGTCGGTAGATTACAAATTATAACTATTGGATCAATGGCACAGTGTGAATTGACAAGTGCAGGGGAAAAATACTAGTAAGCACACTCATCACTCTATTTACTGAACAGGTTGGAAAACCTTTCAACGCTGTAAAGTGGAAATCAACACTTAGAAAATGTGTAACTCCGACAACAATCACAGGTAGTTCTATCAAAATTAAAAGCATCAATATATGAATGAATGAAATAGCATATAAATAAATTTTTGTTGTGGTAACTACTCACTACTTCATCCGCATTTTGTTGAGGCTGGAAAGTTTTCAAAAATTCCACTAATATTTCATCCTCAGTTTTTTCACCATTGATATACTTTGGATGGTGTTTCACATTGTAAGTACCTTTCAAATCTTCAATCTGAAATATAACATTAAGAGTTTATTACAATTTTTGATAATCCAATGAATAGTATCTAGTTTGTAGTGAAGGCGATAACTATGTAGGAAATCTTAAAACAGATTGAGAATTATCTGACATTATAAAAATTCCGTTATTAAGCCGAGCTTAGATGTTCAATCCTTTTCAGAGCTATAAGCATCTATAACAAACAGTTGATGAGTAACTACCAAAGAGAAAGTATAGCAAGTTAAAGCTATGGAATTTTATGCGAAATTCCACATTGTCTTATCCGTTTCTACACTGAATTATAGTATAATATAAAATGTGTTCTTATATTCTACTCGAAGTGACACCAGGGATTTTAAACATGACAAAAATAAATCGTTTCACATGAAAGTGTAACAATTTAGTACTCCACTCATGTCTACACACGTTGTATGGAAAGCAAATGCGAAGAATGGAATTATACATAGAAATATGTGCAAAAATAAGTTTTGCACTTATATGTGTAAAAATGTTATTAAATATTGCTTTAATTTTTATTATGTCCAGCTTATTTATTCAGAGTGGTTACTCCTCTTCAGAGAAAGTCTTCATATCATGCCAAACTTAGCTCCGATGTTATTTTTTTAAGTGTGACTAGCAGAAAAATTCAGCATGAATATCTGACCTTAATCGGAATTAGTCATCTGGATAATTGTGCAAAGGATCCTGCTGTGATATAATAGGCTGCTGAGTCAAGGTGACATCTCTTATACATCGGGCCATACATGTTTTCCTTTTCTAATATTTAATAATTTTATTGCTCGTTCTGTTAAGCTAAACTGATTCATTTCTGTTTTAAGCCTTCTAGACAATCGATGGTATTAAAAGGTTTGGTTTATTCAGTAAGCTCGAATTCATCCCTATGCAAGGAATTCTACTGAATTTTGAATATGGCTAACATGAAGTGGTGCGTCGGTGGCATAGCGGTTAGGACGATCGCCGACGATGCAAATGGTCCTGGGTTCGATCCCCGGCCGACGCATTCCTTTACCTCGCGAAGCCAGTAGTAAGACTGGTAAAGAGGGAAAGTTGGGCATGAGGGTAGCCACCCCATCCCGTAAAATAAACACTGCTACAGAAACTTCAAGCCACTAGCTTGAAGCCCCATGTTCCACTGGGGAACGTGAAGGAAAAAAACAACAACCAAAAACGTGAAGTGAAGTGTGAGTGCTTTTCGTTGTTGGGAATCAGTCTATCCTTCTTCAGAGATGGTAACTTCATCACTCGTACATATCGATAAAGCATACTATTTACACTATACACTTGCTTATTAACAAGGAAAACGCACGTTGTTTTCTTTATTCAGCTTTATCTGTTTGTCTACTTATAGCACCTTTCGAGTTTAAGTGTGCTGAAGATGTCAACCACATTTTACTCGGGCCTTTTCATTTAACTTTCACTGGAATTGTTGAAGCAATAAGTTGATAAGCGTAAAACGGTGAAAATATGTATTTAATTATCCAGCATTGAATTAAAGTGCCCAAACTACTACAAGTGAATTGCACCTTGTTTATTACAGCTATAAAAATCATTATGAAAACTAAACTAAAGATAACGATAACTGTTCATTACCAGTGATTTTACTCATTCTGAATGATAAAGAGACAAAATAGATGAACTAGACATTCAGAGGACCACAGTGCTTAAGTTTTATACTTATGTCAACAAGACCTTTTGAACAGTTTCTAGCCGTTTTACTATTTTCAAATAGTAACCACTATATATATATAACGTCACCTATCTCAGTCAGCTATATGCACTTACGTGGTATCAACCATCAGTTTTGAGCCTGGAAACCTTAGAAATAAAAACGCATTTCTAAAACGTCAAACTTAAAGCTAGGATGGTCGAACAGGAAAGTGATTCACTGTTACTCAACAAGTTAGGTGTCTTTCTCGAAAATCTGAATGTATTAAGAAATCCCCTGATAAATTTTTGGAGGGTCTTGATATCACCTTCAACAACGCATTTCACGATAACATACAGTTAAACCACTCATGATATTCCCTGTATGACAAGCCATGAGTAGCTGATAGAGTCAAACCTTTTCCTCTCAGTAGAATGTAATCTGAGAATAAACATAATTCATTTTTCCATGATCCCCAGTAATATTATTCAGACTTAAAGTCAGCCAGCACACTGATTAACTGGTTAAACTACTTACACAAGAGCTTTAGCCAAGTTAAAGGTGAATCTGTTGAACTTTTCACAATTTAAAGTGCCTAAGAGAGGTGAAACTAAGCACAAATGCTACATAGCTGACGCAAGGATTGAGATCTACTTCGATAATAAGTTAAAAATGCCTTCATTTATGCTGGATTTCAGTGATGGTAAAAAGAAAATATAATTATTCCTATTTGAAAGACTGTGAATAAAATGACAACAAAATGATAATACTTACAGTTATAACACCATCTTTTGTTTTATCTAGTTTCAGAAAAGCCTTGTTCAGTACATCAACCCTGCATTTACTCATAGGGGGCTAAGAAGTTTAATTAAAAAGTTGACCTTACTCTTAATGATACTAAAAATTCGTCAAAGTCGATAAACCCACTCTGGTCAGTGTCTATCTCATCAAATATTTCCTTAATTTCATCTTTGGTTAAATCTACACCAAAATCTCTACATCCCTTAGAAAATTCCTTGAAATCGAGTTTTTTGTTTCCGTCATCATCGATAATACGGAACTGTCTGTTTAGAAAGGATTTAAGCACCAATTAAAATCAATTAATTTCAAAACTTACCTACTAATCCCAGCTATTCCTGATGCACCGCGGGAAAGACATTGATATCTGAGCTTTTCTATAGGTTTCAAATCCTTTGCGAGTTGCTTTTTTGCCTTCTCTTGCAACAGCCTATCACTTCTTTCAGTTTCCATCTGGCTATTTGTCAAGACGCTAGGACAAAAGGGAGCATCGATACCGACAATGAAAGTTAATGGATTTAAACAAACATGGTTTCAAAATTAGCAATTCAGGTTAACTTTCAGAAAATCATCATTCAGTAGCGTCCAAATGACAAAATAATCTCACAAAGAATAAAGAGGATATCGTCCATACATAGTTACCTGTTTCGTCTCTCCGATTTTTCTAATTACAAACTAACCAGAAGTGATAATACGTTTCGTGTCAAATATACCCTAGAGGGTTTCGCTGAAAGCAACTCCTTTTTGTTGGAGCTTTTTCCAAACTACTTCACCGTCTTACCTGTTAAAGGCTTTTTGAAAGGCGATGAAGTTAGGATGAAGAGTTGCCCATTCACTTCAGCTAAATGACTAAGGGAAGAGGGATAGTGAATGATTGTGGATTATATGGTAGTGACTAATTTCATGCTGTTAATGTTAGCTGCGTTTTAGATCAGCTTTGTATGTAACTATTATAGTCTATTATAATAATTAGAAACAATAAAGATAATATCACCACGCTTACCGCATACGAATGTCATACCGAACAATTTGTTATATACCGTGTAGATGTCAAATAAAAAGTGGCATTAAATTTAGTTTGAAAACCTGGATTTGATATTTTGTTCTTTATTAGTATAAACTTAGAGGAATAGGAGTTTAAACCAGATGTAAAATAAACTTTCCAAAGCGTAAAACGCCATATACACACAGCATGCCTGCAGGATAGTATTCCTCTGAGTCGTCACTGATAATTGTGTTATATAAGGGGGATATGAGGAACGGTTTGAAAGTTAGTAACCAAATTGAGCCTGTTAAACGAATCAGTGATAAAGCTTCGATAGTGGCAGTGAGCTCTAAGTAGTAATTTAGGGAATATATTTTCTAAAACTTCCCTATTTGGAAAATTTCCCCCCTGCCATCTCCTTGTTTTCCTTTCTAACATGTCCTTATAATGATTCTATGGAATTCCGTCATCAAATTCACTTATCAAGTACCACTATACTTCTTCATTAAACCCATTAGCAGATGATGTATGGAACTGTAGGAGATCAATGAAATTCGTCAAATCAATTGAACCTCAGCCGTTTCACTGTCAATGATCAGATTGAAAGACATGTTGATCAGTATAATTTTCAAGGGACATTAGATCGGCAGCTTCTTTGTGGTGTGATTATCTTCTTGTACACTGTCTGAGAATCGTCGTTACTAAACACACCTTTCGGCAGCCGTAATGTTATGGGAAGGCATCAATGGAGTAGCCTCTGAAATACTTTTGGTTACCGACGCGTCGGTGCCCATGTAAATACTACCTTTTTTCGGCGTTTACCTCAATACCAACCATCAGCACAGACTCGCAACGTTCAATAGCCAATAGCTCTAAGATGGAAGCTTGAGCCTACAGACGAACCTCGTAGATCTTTGTTTCACCAACCGGTTCCTTATATCCACTCAGATTATGCGCGATCTGATCGTTAGGGTGAATTTTCCCATGTCGTACTCCATCCTCACAGACTTTGTCGACTCATAGATTACCATCTACTCCGTCTCTATATCCTCATATCCCAATCAACAATCGATCCACTCAGAATCAAACTTAACTGTGTCCTCTGTCCTCAGTAGACTTCCCATTAATGTGCCTGCCCCTGACCTTATTTGAGGATAACTCAGTCTAGAAATTTTCGGATGTTTGGTGAAAGTGATGACGTGGGACGCAATGAGGTAGTACTCCACCATACTGACACTGGCAGTCACCCGCCTAAGCATCAGCCACCCAGAGAGATCCCCATCCGCTGTCAACCCCAGCTAGTCAGTTTGATACAAGGCATGTATAGTAGAAAAGTTATTGAACCGTCATCCTGTCCATGGGCATCACCCATCGTCTTGGGAAAGTAAGACGTTTTTCCTCTGAATGTGCACTGGCTATCGTAAACTGAAAGCAGAGACAGGACACGATTGTTTCCCAACCGCTGGCACTGATGCAACCTTTGGTGCACATACCGGCTTTCAGTGGTCCTCTACCCCAGATCTGACATCTGGGCACTGGTAAGTCGAAGTGAATCTGGAAGACTGCATTTATATATCCAGCTAGACTATGTGAATTCAGCACAATGCCCGGCCACATCCCAATAATAATATATATTTATTCCTGTTTATGCAGGAACATACCAATTGTACAGGCATGGATAAGTTATCATATAAATTACAAATATTTTGATGTATGCTGAATTTACAGTTTGTTTGTTCTTTCTGACATTAGAGCCAGTCGGAAAAGTCTGCTAAATAGTCTATCTGTGTAACACATAAAGAGATATGGAAATATTGTCTTCGCATTAACAAAAACCCCAGACATCAGATGAATGTAATGCAAATATCTGGGAAAAGTAAAGCCTGAAGTCAATTCTCCTACATAACTTTGTTGTGAACAGCATCCTTGAGTTCAAGTTAATTGATGCATTATTTAAGGTCAGTGATGTATTTATTCCATTTTTTCAGCAGTCTAATCGTAGTTTTATAATAGGAAAGAAATTTGATTGTGGATACGAAAACTAGATAAGGTCATGTTAGATTGTTTTACTGCATGGAGTGGGGCCGAGGTCGATTCCAGAACTATCCATTGACGCCATTTGTGTCAGCATGACAGATTGTACACGTAAGTTGAGTAATACATTGAAAACTGTTTGAAAACCAGTTGCTTCATTATTTCAGATCAAGAATACTCCTTGTACAGAATGTTGGCCAGCGTTTTCAAGTGGTGGCATCAGATACTTCATGGAATTTGAGTTTGAATTTACTTAAATGGTCATTTCAGTTCAAATGTAGGGTTATTCGATCTCGACCAGGAGGTATATAGAATGAGGCAGGTAATTCTGGAGAGGTTGTTCCCATATATGTGTCTAATTTATCTCGACAGTATAAGTGGAATGGGAAGTGCCTGCGATATCATATTGATAAATTACTGACCGTCTTCACGAGGCCAAGAACAAATGGCCTAAAATTAAAACCTCTTAAGTGCATCATTGTGTAGAAAGAAAGCACATTTTTGGCCAACAGTACCTCACAAAACAGTATTTACACATATCCGGATAAATACCAACTAATTGCCTAACGGTAAATACCCCAGTTATACAAGGGAGTCCATAGTTTCCCTCGGTCGGTGTAGTATTTTCTCCGGTTAATTCCGGTTTCGTCACTCTAGCATCGCCGCTGAATCAACTGAAAGAAAAATGATGCAAATTTTTTTTAACTGGTGAGTGACAATATGCATTTAACAGGTTAAGGAAGAACCTTAGTTCATTACCCACCCTAGCGTATCCAGACACGTCATTATCTTCTAGTCCTTTCATTTCGGACTCCAGTTCTAGTGCCATAATGAATGCTGTCTCACAAATGGTTACTAATTATCGGGACCATGCTGCTGCATACGCCAATCGTTCACTGAACAAATGAAGTATGCTATTCCGTTGCTAGGAGGGAAATTATTGCTTGCTTTCATTTCCCTAAAAATTATCTCCTTGGGAGCTCCTTAAGAGTGTGCACCGGCCAGGGCTCGTTACAGTGGCGTCAAATGCTCCACGAACCAGATGGCCCGGTAGCTTGTCGGCAGGAGCATTTGCAAGGGTTCGACTTCAACTATGAGTACCTCCCAGGATCTCGGCATACTATGGTGGATGCCCTCTCTCACCTGCCAACTTTTGATTTGACAGTAGATGTTGACTGGGCATCATAACAAGAGCCTGATGCCTGCATACAGCTTATTTACTCACATCTACTTCATGGGAATGAAAAACAATCAAATAAAGAACTAGTGGAATTATCCGACATGACACAGCGTGTCTGTACCAAATGGGGTCTGCTACGACTGTCAGATGACATCCTTTCTAAAGCAGAACCCCCTCCATCGCCTCATCTCCTAATTCCACGCATAAAAGTTCAAGAGGTGATTAACGTTGTGCACAAGCAACTTGGTCGTGCTGGTGGACGAAATACTGAACATGACGTCCGTCAACGATTTTAGTGGCCACTCATTCGTCACGGCATCGCTGAATTCTGCCGCAGCTAGGTTACATGTGTCCAAATCAAGCAGTCTTCTCAAATATCGCGGGCAAGCTTGGTATCCATAAGTCCAACTACAGCTTCGAGACTGGGTGTCTGATCAGCTAAGGTTATGTTACCAAATGGTGCGAAGTTTTACCTCTGCAACAGATACGATGACGATCTATCATGCATTCATCGACAAAAGGATATCTCATTACGGCGCACCACAATATTTACCCTTAGACCAAGGCGTTGATTTCAAGTGTCAACTTACTGCCCACATTCAACATAGCTTTAGTATTCGAAAAACTCACACTATGCCGTACTACCCAAAAGGAAACAGTTTGTTGGGACGGAACAATCACGGATATACTTATTGCCTTCCTATTTCAAACACTGGAGGCGCAGTTTCAGAGGCCTTAAAAAGGAGCTCGATAAGTGTACGTAATATCAGAATAAGAATCCAGGTCGGTGAAATAAAACTTAAACAGTTTATTATGAAAATGCAGTTTGCAAGTTGTAAAAATTGAGGGTTACTTGAAAACGGTTAACATCGACTGCTGCAAATTAATAATACAATCCACAGATTCGTGTAATTGCCGGGATCGTGTTCACTAGTAGTTGTTAACCGGTGGTAGAATGGTCTTCTAACAAGGATGAGGAGTCCCTGCAAATTTCAACGAATACAACACAGGTATTAGTGGAGCAGTAAGACAGCAGGAACCAGTAAGAAAATGGAGTGACGGACAACATGACTATATTTATATATATTTATTTGACAAAGAAGTCGGCTGTACAAAAATTATGTACAGTGTGTCCATTTTCACCATTTAGCAGAAAATTGTACAGACCTATTGTATAGAACTCTAGATATTCAACAACAGTCTTCTGTCGTGCACCAGAAAAGTATCTAGGGCCATCTAATGCGAGGACCCACCTATTCCATCGGTGCTCGCGTTAGGTTTCACGATAAGTCAGTTCGTTCTTGGCGGCTGTAGTTTAGAGTGACTCTAAATAAGCCAGGCAGGTATAGGTAAGCCACTTCTGTCATGGTTAAAGGACTACCTAGCTGAAAGGCGATTTCGCACTAAGGCCAATCGAGTCCGATCACCTTGGCACAGCTCGTCATCAGGAGTGTTGCAGGGTTCTATTCTAAGCCCACTGATGTGTTTGATTTTTATCAGTGATCTACCATGCCGTCTAAGCTGCCCGACTCTTCTATACGCTGACGACGTAAAGAGATGCAAGGTGATAAAGTGCCCGGAGGACTCAGATAGGCTACAGGAAGATCCAAACCTTCTGGAAGACTGGGCGGTGGCCAGTGGCATGACTTTTAACCTGAAAAAGTGCAAAGTAGTGAAGTTACGCACCTGTAGACTTCAGAATGCAAGTTACACCCTGTGCAATGAAAGCTTGTCCTGCACAATGTCGGAACGCGACTTAGGTCTAGTTCTAACTGAAAAATTGGACACAAGCGTAAATTGCACTGGTGATGTAGCGAGGGCATATGCGGTCATGCACTTTACACACAGACGGTTAGGTGCACTCACTCCTGAGCTCTTTATAAGGTTGTGCAAGACATACGTCAGACCACACCTTGAGGTGCATAATATTATTGCACCCCCACTGCTTAGGAGAGATGCCAACCTCTTGGAAAGAGTCCAAAGGAGTGGTTGGTCTCCAAAATAAACCATATGATGAAATTAGGCCTATTCACACTTACCTACCGTCATCTTAGGGGGGATTTAATTACTGCCTATAAAATAACGAATGACGAGAATCACCGAAACAAAGGTGTTCTGCCATTGAGTAGGTATAGGCTCCCTCGGGGAAATCCTAGAAGGATAGCGCACCAGAGGGCAAGGACCCGGGTGCGCTCCCACTTCTTTTCCCTGCGGGTTTGCCGTCCCTGGAATTCCTTACCGGCAGATGTAGCTATGGCACCATCTGTGGACGCCTTTAAGCGAAGTCTGGACAACCATGCAGTGTCACAAGGACTGCATCCAAATGGCCTATCCACTTAAAATCGCATACACCATTCAAAGGTAGACAATTAAACTTGTCGTTTTACTTCTTTACTTTCTCTCCCATCTTACTCTCATGACAACTTTAGCTACACTTATTTTTATTATCACTATTACTGATATATATAATCCATATTATTCTTCAAATTTAATCAGCTGACTGTTGTTACGTTTTCTTTATTTCATTTTCTGTCTGTTAGCCTGAATAACTTCACTAATTATATCTATTATTATTATCTCTTTTCTTTTGATGACGATACCGGAGGACTAGCTGGTGAAAATATCAACTCCATTCACAGTAGTAACAGTTTTAACCCACCGCATACTACAAACAACATATAATTAATCCCAGCACTACTATTGGAATCAACCAAAGCTACAACAGTCGAATGTCTGGAGGAGCTACGCAGAAGTTTACCGAAGATCAGGGACCTCTACCTCACAATCAAGAGGCGAGCAGAAAGAAATCAAATTGGTTTATAATAGCTCTTAAAAAGGATATTGGATGACCTTGGCAAGGACAACTTTGACGAATCAGAAGGCTAAAATAACGGCGCATAATTCTTATAAGTCGTTTATATGAAAGTAAGGCAATGTTAAAAAATAGTTACAAAGGATAACGTTCTCGTATATGTTCTAAAAAACCTCCCAACTTCTCATATGAATCTTGGTTCTCATGTTAGATCATATCCTGTAGATAAACTTATCGAGATAACTGTATATCATTGCATTTCTTGATCCATTCACCAATCTGATCCGTTTTTTGAGGTGACTCCAAAAACTTTGGATGGAGTTAGTGTGAGTTACATCAAAAGGACTGATGAAACCATTTGTATGGTTGACGATTCGATGAATATAGACCAGATTTGATAACTGACTAACTACATAGTTAGTACTCCATTCATTTGTATGAATAGTCGTCCCAGGCAGCACTAAGCTCTGGACAATAGGCAATAATACATCTGCACTGCGATTAGGGATCGCTTCAATGCATCCTTTCTGGAGGCTGGTGTCATATATCACCAATATCCATTTCTGATTTGCACGTAATCTGCCTCGATAATATTTCCTTTTCATCAACACTGTCTCATCAGTGTGAAGGATGACACCAACTCCGCCAAGTACTTGAGTCGGCATCAACGAAAATTTCTTAAATGATGGTACACCGCGGCTTAGACGACAAAACGTCTAGATTATCTGCTAATAAGGAACGTAAAAATTCGAACATCAGTAGCAATCAATGTATCCAAGTTCGCTTTTGTTTGGTCACTAGTAAACAGCTATTTCACATACCCAAGGTGCAACAAACAGCAGTCATCATCAATAGGAGTAATGTGAAGGAAGTTGCCTTACTCACTAACCCGAATAGTATCGTGCCAACTACAAACAGGCGGCACGGATGATGATGTCAAAACAAGAAAGGTGTTCATTGCTGCGTAGTCAGTGTAGAGATCTGCAGCACCGGGAACAGGATCTGAATTTTTAACACTGATGTCAAGTTTGTGCTTGCATATAGTTCGAAGACTTGGTGCGTTACGAAAGCATTTTCAACAAACTAACTGCAGACTTCCATCAACAGCTGCCTCTGCTCCATATTGAAGATCTGATGGTCAAAAAGGATAAGCAACAAAGGATACTGACAGGGACCCAGCAAAGAACTGACCGATTTACAGACCTGCAGACGGATTTAGAGATGGTTTGGGCTGATAAGGTCGCTGAAAGACATCACATACTAAGTTGTCGAGTGAAACCCCATTTGAAAACAACGCGCTTAGCGCGGAGAGATGGGGATGAAAATCGTGTTAAAAAAGAATGAAATTTTGTGGGTAGTCGTGGAGCCAGTTGAATGTAATTGTAGAGAACTGAGTGGTATGATGATATACCTCTGAAGTCCCACTTTCAAATAGGAACGATAGCAATAAACAACTTATTCGGGGTGATGCATTTCGTCTGTGCTACAGTAAAACTTATAGCTTACTGAAAGGTTAGTGTTGTGGTGTAGAAGAAACACCTCTAATAGTCGACGAGCACTTAACATATGCGAATGATGGTCACTGGTGATGTTTGTGCAACATCAACAAAAGAATTACTTGGCTCAGGCACTGTATAAAACATTCTGATATCAAAAAAGCTTCGTACCAATGGCTCTCAAGGGAGTAAGATTGTTAGCACGTGAAGCGATCTTCTAGGACAAATATCGTATGAAAATTCCAAGCAAATCCCATAAATGAGTGCCGATTCATGTCTGAGGGAAAATCCACTGGGCTGGAAAAAAATACTTTGCGAATCTACAGATAGACTAAGTTTTGAGAATGTACATGACAAACACCTGAACAAGCGAGGACGCTATGCGGTGAAACATTCTCTTCTGGTCTGACACCAGAGGTCATCCTACCTTACATGTACCAGAGCGCTGTTCTCCTTGTTCGCTAGCTGACAACTTTAAAAGGTTACACGATTACTCAGTCTTATGTTTTGCAACCATCCCTTCGCAAAACAATCGAATCTAAGGGACCGGTTTTATTGCTGGGACTAACAGTTCGTTACTCGTCTTATCTTTATCCAAGTTACCTTTTTGATTTCATTCTTTAGTGCCGGTGACGATTCTCAATCTTTTCGTCGATTGCTAGCTTATATCCACCCCTTTCTTCGTCCGGATTCTTGCACTCATTTCGTAATGTAGTCATTCATGTTTATCTGTTTTGTGTAATATTCTTCGTATTTTGTTTAGTAATCTAGTCATATGAAAGTAGCATACATACTAAACAGGATTTGTTTTGCCTTTGCAGCCATGCTTTGTTGTCTTGAAGAAGAATTGAAATCAATAGAAATTATTTTAGGAAGCTCCTCGCCACGCCGGAAAGAATTACTTCAAAACACTGTAAGTCATTGTTAACGTTCTTTACAGCTAGTTATCAGGGCGTTCAGTTCTCCACTGTTTGTCCTGATGTTGAAGAGTCCCTACCTTTAGAACACTTTAAGTCAATACCAGAATATATTGAAGCTTTAGCTAAGTTAAAAGCTGATGCAGTAATGAAGACTGTTGTTGGTAGTGGGGTTTGTCAGCTTTCATTTTCTTCTACATTAGCCATAGCAAGGCAGGGTAGTGATTGGTGCCGATACTCTAGTATGTTTTGAAGGTTGTGTTTTCGGAAAGCCATCGAGTCAGTCAAATGCGATAGATATTCTGAATCGGTTTGTTTCACGTGCTAAACTCATAAATTCTTCTAGTCTAAGCGGAAATATTCATCAAGTGATTACCGGTGTATGTTTGATTTGGACTGTAGCTGGCAGACAACATAAAGTGGATTTATTTCATGAAGTGACAAATGTTAAAATGGCCAGTTTGGATTGTCGAACCATCGAGGCGTATGTACAGTCTGGAGAACCAATGTATGAGGTTTTCATGCGAAAATATTATAATCTTGTTATTGTATTGTGGAGATGATTATCTTAAAGACAAATTAAACACAGGACTTTTCTTTAGTCCCTCAATACTAGAAAAAATAATACTCCTCCCGTATCAGTATAATTGTGTTACACCACTATGGCTGTAAACATGGATACTGGCTCTCATTTATGGTCACTACTTCAGAAAATTATTCAGTAATTTTTTGTCTAATTTATTCCTAGCTGTATGAAGTTAGTCAGGAGGTGCATTATATTCATCTCAGTCAGACTTTTAAGCACTTATAAAGCAATTTGATTGAAATATAGATTAGTTGTGTTGTGAAATTAAATAACTTAGTAGTCAAGGGAAGATACTAGAAAGTCAGCAGGCTACGGTTAACTGTAATACTACCAGCTGATCATTCGATTTGCCGAATTAATGTATCTGCAAAATAACGGACAGATACTGTTCATAAAAAGACTGGTGTACTTATGGATGTGCAAAAATATTATCTGACATTCTCTTAAACTTCGCTGATTTTATATAAATGTCTATTGATGCGGTATTGCTTAAGAGAAATATGGGTGTAATATCCTACCAAAGTAATCTTACGAATTATTTAAAGTTAGAACTTTAATGTCTTACTGATGTTTAGTTATTTATTCGATGTCGGACCGTATTTCACATAATGGTTTTATATATGATTTGTATTACTCTATTATTTAAAAGGTCTTTAATGTTTGTTTTTTGTGAATGTTAATCTAATTTCAGGGATAAAGCTGGTGCTTATGGAATTCAAGGTTTGGGTTCAAGTTTAATAGAAAAAATCGATGGGGATTATTTCAATGTCGTTGGCTTGCCTGTTTATCGTCTGTGCCAGTATTTACGAGCTGGATGCAAAGACATAAATTCTTTAATTCATAAATAGGCTGAGTATTTGTAAAGAGATGCGAAATACTTTTAAGGACTTATAGCCGACTGTATCTTCGCGAACTTGGACAATAATGAATATTGATTCATCCAGCAGACTCAAGATTTACTCTAAGACACTAATTTATTTTCTTGAATATGCAAAAATCATGTCCAATTTCTTTCCATATATGTAAAAGTATTCGAAAGATAAGACTTTTTTACCTTTACTATAAAGAGAGAAACTGTGTACTACTGTAAAGTTTAATTCCAGAGTAAAATAACAAAAAATAATAGTAGAATATGAATATCCATATGAATTATTCCGAACAAGAATAAGTATATCCGAAAATCGTTTCTATAGGTTCTTCAGGCTCAACAGTTATAAACTCATAAATTTTAGCAAATAGTGGCCAGTAAAAGTAAAGTAGAATCATAACAGAAACAATATCGTGCTACGTGTACCAGATGGAGTGACGATTTTAATTGTCATTTGAACGTATATAAAATGTTCAGTTATTAAGTACATGAGGGAAAATAAGATTGAATAACTGAACAGTGTTTGGGATAAAGTGATTATTACTATCATTGGACACTAGTCAGTAACTAGTGTGATGTGTCTAGTCCTATCTTTTGTGCAGACTGAATTCTATCAGTCAAGTTTGCAATGTGGCCACCATGCTAGGTGACTCGCCAACACGGTACACGGTGAATTGTTGGTATTAAATGGTTGGGGGCAATCGGCAGGAAGCCTTGGACCTAGGTTTCGTGCCAGTTGGCGGTCATCAGCAAGGCGTATCTGCAACCTCGAAGGAACTCATGTCCCTTCTGATGTTCGAACCCGCGTCACCCGGTTTCAGGAGCTTAAGTAGAGTCCGTGGAATCTAGCACGCGGATTTCATCTTACATGCGACTAGTGAGCTAGATGTACTGCTAACCACTGTCAATCACATAACATCACGTTAATATTCAGACGTGGTCGAAGCGTCCGTACTACGAACTGATGCGTCAACCAGGATAGTCTTTCAATACGATATAGTCAGTCAACGGGACTGGTACTGGTGAACACGGTTCCCACTACACTAAACTTTGTTTACTGCCGCTCACTTTGGTTTGATTTCACAACCAACACTGGAATGATTGTTGTTTATTGTTATCAGAAATGTATGCCTTTTAACGAATGGGGGACAGAAAGTTCCTCCTTGACTTTTTGGCGTTATGTGTCAGTAACTTTATGAAAGTGATAGTAAGTCAAAATTCGGGAAAACTTAGCTTGAATTGGTGTTAGCTCAGTCGAAGTTCCTTTGTGTAGAATGATTAACCGCTTTCTTTCACATGAAATGTGACTTCATGCGGAAGAACTTGTGAATTCTGATATGATTTGTTTTTGTTAAGTCTATTACCACTAACTGTCGAAACATCCATATAGACAACGTTTTGTTTTTTCATATGAAAGACGAATACTATTTAACCAGTACTTCCTAGTTCGTTTGTAGGGATTTGGTTTGTTTCAAATTTGATCACAGATTGATGGCACCAACCTGAAATGGTTGAAATGGCCTCTAAGAAATACAGAACTTTGAGAAATTCTACAACAAAATAGCTGGAATGCTGGGCAGAATATCTCCACCGGCCTGCAGCCACCCACTACTTTAAGTCTGAATAGGAAATGGATTATAGTCTTCTGACGCAAGTTGTGACGGTTATATCAAAGCAAAGCCAGACAACAGGTCATGATGGTTTGATTAAAGAGCAGTAAGGGAGTGTTGACCAGTTTTTGGGTATCCAGAAGATTGATCATTTGTAGGGAGCGAGGTTTTACACTGCAAACCAGACAAAGATCAACTTAGCTGACGCAGTATCTAAGGTTATACAGTTTAAAGTTATTCTAGGATTACGTACATCAAACCTGAATGTAAAAGGCTAGTTTCAGACTAAAACAAATGTTTCGATCCAATGTTTGCATTTCCTATATGTTAATCTGTATAACTCAAGAAATGGATAAGAACGGATCCAACGGTGATTTTGAATTCTCATAATTAAGGTAGTCAATGAAGAAGTCATATAGAACTTCAGAGGCCTTCCGATGTCAGAGGGTATAACGATAGGATCCCCTAGTCTCAGCAGCCTCATCTATGGTTATCTGACATTAGGTCTCTTAAAACGTATAATCTCACCTCGAAGATGAGGTGGAACTATATCAAAGAAGATAAGACCTACAAATCTGCAGTTATTTTACACACAAACTTTGTAGTATGTGGGATCAAACTCTGAAACAGAAAATGAACATAGGAGTTGTAAAAGAAAGAAGGCATTTTATGTGTTGGCCGATATTTTTTGAAAAAAACTGTCACGTTATTTTAGATAGCCAGACTTTAGTTAATTCTAAACCATATCAAAAGGTGAGTAGTGTTTACTGAAGTGCGGACAGTGTGTGAGAAAGTTTCAGTAGAGAAGAAAAACTGCCGTCCAGTAGTGAAGAACTTCACAGGTGTGGATGAGTACTGATAGAAAATAGTAATCATAACATGAACAAGCTGGAATTCGAATCCTACTGTGTTGATTGATGAGGAATAAACATCCAAAACTCCTGTGTGAGAAGCTTAAACTAGAGTAACAAACACATGATACATTCACGCTTGTGCTGTGCACTTAACAATGATATAAATGAAGTGCATTATTCAAGTTTCATATGCATCTAAAATAATTCCATATTTATGGCTTTGAAAGTTATTCAGAATGAATGAACTAGAGTACTACAGAAATAAAAGTTTGAAACTGAATAATGAAGAAAAGACACAGTTTTTGAAAAAATAAACCAAACCTTTTTCGGAGAATTTGCTAAACTCATACAGCGAAACCACAGATTATACACGTGCAATTAGAGCATATCGGAACATTAATAATTCAAACAGAATTAGTTAAGTGAAGTTAAGAGAGAAATCAAAATAAAATCATGAAATATAGGTAAGTGAACATCTAGCAGCCATAGTTTATTTCTGAATAAATAAACTACTAGAAAACGGTCATGATTTGAAGATGCCAGAAGTAGTTAGGCAACTGAAACAAACTGTTTTTATTTCTAGACGGCTTCAAATTGTGCAGTCCATGTGACATATGTGGGATGATAAAACTACACAGAGCAGGGTATGCTCTTAAAGGTTTGAGAAACAGACTGGTCTGTATGTTATGTAACGCCTCATGTTAATGTAGTCTCACCAACACAAGAAACTTAACCAGTGGGACTATTAAATTCATGTAAACCAGTAGACTGACTCAAAGAGATTCAAATTATTAAGTAAAACATGCTAGTTATTTTTGAAAAAAAGCAGCTTATTTAAGTAAATACATTTTAAAATGTCTTAACTAAACAAAAGAAAGGACAAGTATTGAGTCAGAAACTTGGCCAGCGTGTCACGGAAAGCATTTCCGACAGGCTAATGCACACTTTTATTAACAACTACCTTCATTGGCTCCATAATGAAGATCAGATGGCTTGTCAGAAAGAAACAATAAGAAGAAACTATGTGAACGAACCAATCAAATTATTGATATAAATTACACGATAATGTGTTGAAGTTTAGGCATTACTGACTCCATCTAGTTTAACAGGATAGAGAAAGAATTTAATATTATTAAACAAGTTTGTTAGTTTTCAGTCAAGCTAGTTGGTGTCAATATTACGGCCCAGACAATTTATTTGAATTGCGATTACTGCTATGAAGGACGCAGAAAGTAGTTATTAATTTAGTAGAAAGAAATGGTCATTTGGGTGCAAATGCAAACTGAACACTTCATTTACATTTAGAGGAGTAGACGGTGGAGTGTATTAGCCATGCACATTGCTGCTACTTGATATGCACTAAAAATTTTAAATGTGCTCTGGTTCAGTGATGGAAGGTTTGCGATCGACTGGTGCAGTACAGGTTCGATTCCCGACTGACTTCACTGCTAATCCTCACCTAGTTTACTAGCCCGTAGTGAACTCAGAAAAGACAAAAGGCTGGTCAGGAGGCTAGCACCTTCAGCCAGTAAAAATGACACCACGGCTACTAAAACTTCAAGACCCAAAGCCTTAAGCCCTATAATCCACTCAGAACTCAAGGAATAAAAGAGAACAATACACTGAGTTTAAGTTTACACTGTAATGTCTATAGTATTTCTCTAAAATGCGGTTTTACATCACTGATAAAAGATGCATTCCTAATGATCAGAAAAAGGACATGGATGTTAAAATAAAAATTCCTGTCTAGGCATCAATAAGTTTTATCTTTTTTATTGACTCTTTTCCATGCTAATAAAAATCAACAATAAAGGGGGACGGAAACGAAAAAGTCTATATCAAATGTTCATACCTTACGGTTAAACTTTAAAAAGAAACTTGTTAGTCACCTAAAATGCATGGATACAATCTGAACAGTGTATAATTGATGGCAATTATGTATATGTTGGCAATTATTAAAGCAAGTTATTTCTTTGAATCTATGGTACGACGACGCATACTGCTATTATTGTGACTGATAAGGAAAGAGAGTCTAAACACAGCCCCCGTGCATATACCCTTCTTCATCAGAAAAAGTAAATTCACTAGACACCTAAATTTTGAATTTTACGGTGAGAATGCCTCGTGTTGACTTCGTTAGTCTCATTTTCATGTGACAAGAGATAAGTGTGTTTGTGTATATTTGTCTAACTAGAATTTCACTGGTATATTTGAATAAGGAAACAGATGGATGACACAAAACAGCTATAGGAAAGTATTTAGAAAATTTTACATGATGAACAGTGAGTAACACAGCTGATAAGAATCTACTGCCATAATCCAGCTGAACATATAGGAAAAGACAGAATTCATCTAGTTACTATTTAGCGCACTGCTCTCTGTTTGGCAAACAAACTGAAACTTAAAGAAAATACCAATCTCTCCTAAATTAACATGGTTAGCCAATGACTTCGATATTTATAAACCTAATATACACTAATCTTACTGATATTTTTCCCCCAAAAGCTAAATGATAAATTGTGTTGCTTCAACTAACACGATAGGGAAAAACTCTACTCCGAATAAATGAGTTTACAGTTATTCTCATTATATTGAGAATAGAACAGTTAATCCCTCTCTAACTTCATAATGATTAATTGTAAGTCTAAATAATAGACGTATATAATTACCCTTTCACAGCCTACTAATCAGTTATGAATACATCTATTCAGAGATTTAATACCCCGCCACTGCTCTTGTACTTCTCAAGACGTTAAAAAAGAAATCTGCAAGAAATAAAAATAAAGAATAACGTTCAG